GTAGACAGACACACCTAAGATAGCTTTTGTGTAGCTAGTTTGATGCCAGTAGAGGGGGCAGGACAGGCTTCAGTGTGTGCTCATTGCCTGAGCACATATCCAGGGTCTGGATGGGCTTGTACAAGTCTCTGAGCAACCTGTGCTGCTGTGTTTCATTACTGTTCACTACACTACAGTTCAGTACAGCAGAGCTCGCTGGATTAGAGCTAACACTGCTTCATCTGAACAGGCTGTGATTGCACCTCCAGTTATGATGTGTAGACAAAGCCTTCTTTAAGCTGGTGCAGCTATTTTGTGGTGACAGGGCCTTAGGTCCTGATTTAGGAAAAAGCCTGAGTGCGCAGCTAAGTGTGTGCATTGTCCCATCTGAGCTAATGGGCTTGCTCAAAGGCTTAAAAAAAGCACGTGCTTCAAATGTTCTGATGGATTAAAGCCTAAAGTCTTTGGAGCGTAGTCATTTTTCCTCAAAACCACAAGTTTCTGTTGTCCCAGTTTATGACTCACATGACTAGTTCTCTCTCATCCTGTGGAAACACCTACGGGAAGCTGTCTCAGATTGTTCCGTGTCTGTTTATGAGCCATGATTTCTGCCCTCATGCATCCAAAAGTCTCAGGAGATCTGGGGGCCTTGAGAGATTCGTCGGAGTCTGTCCCTGATTTGAAGGTGATGAAACTCCTAGGGTGTACCTTGTGGTGAGGCAGGGTGTGGAATGATTAATTTCCTATATTTTCCTTCTCCAGCCCTGTGTAGTGATGTCTGTTTGTCTTCCAGCACAGAAGAAAAACGCATTAGCATGTAGATAAGATAGCTGGTTTCTACTCCTAAATAGCACACACAGGCACTTTGAGTGTAGGAAGTCCCACATCAAGATCCTTTACCAACTTTAGAAATCCCATCCTGTCACTCCTCTTGCATATGTGCTAGCACAAGAATTCAAACTTCATATCATACTCTTAACTCTGACCACCACCCCTGCAAATTCAGCATTTCAGTTTATTCCATGGAGAAATAGTTATAGGTCAGCAAAATGTTTTAGGCTTCTTCAGCAGAACTTTCCAGTCGTATAAATCACATTCTTACAATCTATACAAAAAGGTCAAATGCTTATCTCATACATTGTTGTAGTTCTGTTGATTTAAGTGGGACTAAGCTGATTTACACTCTCTGAAGATCTGGCCTGAGTCCTTGTGGAACAAGCTATATCCACATGTATTCACATAAAACGCAATTCCACTAACTGCAACAACTCTCAGACTCAAATCACTGTAATGCCTTTTAGTGGCATCACAGCATTTTTCAAGATTTAATTTTTTTAATTTGTGTTTTTAACAGCAAACCCTTAGGCAAAGGATGGAATAAGTAGAAGGCTAACCAGGGAGCATTAGATGCTTAGTCAAAATGTCCTCCTAAACTATGCTGGGGTAGATGAAACCAGATATGGTAACATAGTATTTTTTCCAGTTCCACATTGTGATTTTAGTAATGGAAGTAGCAGAGAAAGAAATGGGATACAGGGATATTTGGTTGTGTTTTCATGCAAAGTGATGTGTGCATTGCCCTATCTAATGTATTAGGAGACAAGCTATGGCCATGTGGGCAAGGCATCAGAAAGTGACCAGGCAATGGTTAGAGGTCTAAGAAACCTGACTTACAATGAAAGGTTGGAAGAATTGGAGAAGAGAAGACTGTGGAGGGATTTTGATTACAGTCTTCAAATACCTTAAGGGTGGTTATAAAAAACATGGCGATAGACTATTTTTTGTGGGCACAGGGGACATGACAAGAAGTAATGGTTTTAAATTACAACAGGAAAAATTTAGATTGGATTTTAGGAAGAACTTTTTGACTCTGAGAGTGGTTCAGCACCAGAACAGATTCCCTAGAGAGGCAGTGGAATCTCTAGTTCAAGAAGGTTTCAAGAGCAGGTTATGTGAACATGTGGCAATAATGATCTTGCCTTGACCCAGGGGTTGGACTAGCTGACCAGCGGATTGGACTGTATAACCTCTTGATATTCTTTTCAGGCTTGTTTTTCTGTGGTTCTGTGCAAACTCCAGTGAGGCTGTGTGAGGGTGCCGGGGTCTGTCACCAATCACTCAGTAGTAGCAGAAGCCTATGTCTAAGGGTGTATCCAGGGAGAGTGCAGTGGTGAATTTGCACCCCTGTGCCCCCACCTTTGATTACTGCTCCACCCAAACTTTAAAACCAACTCCCTGGAAAGTCCAGCAGCATTTCTATCCAGCCACTACTGAGAGTGCCAATTGACTTCATGACTCATTACAAACTACCTGATTCCTGCTAATCTTTCTCCACTCCACAGATGTTAACAACCTTCTATCTTTTTTAACGGTTTTGATGTTTCACTCTTCAAACTATCCTTTCTTCTGCAGTGTTGCTGTCTGTTAACCATTCCTGGTAATGTCTCTTCTGTTTCACAGCCTTGCAGACTGTTTTTAGCAGTAGCTAAAAACTTCAAATCAGGTGTGTTAATATTAATTTTGGTGTAAAAATGAAATGATTGACAGTGAAGTATTGGAGACACTGCCAAGGTGCTCAAGAAGGGTAGATTTTGTTTTATGAATCTGAGTATGAGGTGTACATTTAACTATAATAACTATATGACTAATGACACAGTATCTTTTGACTATTTTAACTGTTTTTTACTTAGTTATGGGTTTTTTTTTAACTTAATATATAGTCCAGCAAAGTAGTGCACATTCTGATAGTTATATTTGTTTTTGCTTTGACCTGAAACTGAATAACATAATTAACACATTAATAACCCTCCTAGTTTTTCATTTAAATGGAGAAAGAATGTGTGCTATGGTATATGTTATGATGTGCCACACCATCAGCACCCCCTACTTTTTCAAAATCCTAGATCTGCTCACACACATGTCCAGTTTGTGCCAGCTGTCATCAGAGCCTCTGCCTGAGTGTTTCAACCCCTTGATGGCTTTTGTCACGGGTATACTCCAGCCATACAGAGATTTCTCCCGTGGTTTTTTTGTTTGTTTCACTGCTACTTGTCTTGCCTGGACATACTGACCCCTGCTTTTTTTCCCCTCACCTCCCAGTTCACCACCGGGACCTGCAGCGAGGCCACAATGCACAATTGTGAACTGTGTGGCAAAGGCTTCCGCCTGCAGCGCATGCTCAACCGCCATGTGAAGTGCCACAGCCAGGTGAAGAGGCACCTGTGCACCTTCTGTGGGAAGGGCTTCAACGACACCTTTGACCTGAAGAGACATGTGCGGACCCACACAGGTGAGCAGGGCTGGGCTTGTAATGCATGGATGTGCTCTGCCCCCTAGAGGTCACACAGAGCAGTGCTTCAGTGAACCCTCAGCCTGAGTTATTTTATATAACCCTGAGCCCACAGAGCTATCTGACTGGGGAGTCACTCCACTTAGGCTTCATGGAAATTGCACCAATTCAGAGTTCCTGCAGATTTAGGTATAGCTCTTAAAATGAGATTTTTTTTTTTAATCAGTGTAGGGGGCTGCTGTGAAATTTATATTCTCTGTCAATAAGGAACATGATTAAGCTAAACCGAACTGAAACAAGGGTCTCCACACAAAAGTGTCTGCCTGTTGAAACAAATTAGTGAAAGTACATATAGCCTATAGCTTTTAAACCTTTACATGGATGCTCTTGTACAAAACGGAGGCAACTGATTTAATTCAAATCAGTATTATCCACTCCTAAATCAATCCACTGAGGAGTATTCCCTGGAAAGCTGATTGCTTTATATCAGTGCAGTCTAATTACTCAGCTCAGTATTTGTGAGGGGTTGAAGTCTCAGTTTTCATTATCTCCATGTCTGCTATTCTCAGGTTAGTCACCTGCATTCTGTAACATAGGGAACCAACTAAAAGCCTCGCTTGCAGGCTTCTAGCATGTGGTCCAGGACTTGAGCGCTCAGGATATGCTGATTTTTTTTCTAAGAGTTTCAAACATGAGCTTTTAGAAAATCCCACTTTAAGATAAGTGGGATTGCACTGGAACTTGTTTGTTTGTTCACAGTGAATGCAGAATAATTACCCAGGTACCTACTGGGTATACAGTAGCTGTGTGATCTGCTTAGCAGTCACTCCTATGTAGATGCTGGCATCTCTTTTGTAGAGAAAGCACTGGCCAGGAGTTGTATCTTCTGGTGTGTTTGAAAAGCATCTTTGGGTTTTTAATGTGTACATGGCAAGCTGTCAGAATGAACTCCAGGGAACACCACTGAGGGTATGTCTGTGCTCCAGACTGAGATGCTGAGCTTAGCTTTAAACAAGTTATGGTAGGTATGTCCACATCCTACCATAGTCTGCAGGGTAGGGTTATCCTTCAAGACACACTTGCAGGTCCAGTTTGACTCAAAGTTTAGATTTTGTGACAAATAAGGATTTTATTTAAAAAGGGGGGGGTGGTATAAAGAGTTAAAAATTTTGCATGTGGAATAGAAGTTGACATCCCAATGGAAACTACTGTTTCCCAACATAATTGCTGCCCTGCAGCATTTGCCACCACATGATAGGAAGTGAGACTGTGGAGTTAAACTGGTCAGTCCATTTCCATTGCTGGGGCTGAGTCAATCTCATAAATCTGCCTCTCACTATAACAGTGATTCCCAAAGGAGGTGCCAGGGCACATTAGTGTGCTGTGAGTGATAGAAGCATACCACAGGATACCCCTGTGTGAGAAGATAAACACTCTCCTCCCCCATCCCACATCCTGTGCTGGCCCTAGATACTGCAACAGTATACCTGCAGCTGCTCCTTTGGAGACTGCCACCACCAGTGCTGCCTTTTCCCACCCTTCCCTCACACCCAGGAAGCTCGTGTGCCCATCTCCCACCATGCTCTGCACCCCAGCTTGTGCTGTCCACTCCTCCCACACTCTTGGGGCCAGCAGAAGATGCTGTGAGAGTGGTCGCTGGCTTGTGAGACCCTGCAGGAGCAGCCTCGGCAGTGGGGGTTCCCCATGCCCCCCTGAGGTACAGACTAGGGGTCAGGAGGAGCTGACAATGGAAAGAGCAGGGCATAGCAGGGTGAGGTCCTTAAGCGCCACCAGTTAGGTCAGTGGTTCTCAACTTTTTTAGCCTTAGGGCCCCCTCCACATCTTTTCTGAGTGTAGATCTATCTCAGTGATTTTAATCTGGGGTGCTATAAAATTCAGAAAAGTTACTGCATTTATCTGAATGTGAGACAACTTCAAATTTAAGATGAACCCGCTTAATGGTGATATTTTATAGATGGACAATTTTAAGTTTGTTATAACTGTCCATGTATAGCATCTCCTTCAGGGGTGGGCAAAATATGGCCTGTGGGCTGTATCTGGCCCGCCAGTTGATTCTATCTGGCCAGCAGCTGCCCCTGCAGCACTCTCTGCCCTCCTTCCTCCCCCATATGGGAGGCGCTGGCTGGCTGAGGTAAGGGTGATGTATGGATTGGGACTGGGGCACGGCTCCCCTGGGACTGAGTCGCATAAGTGGGCCAACATCAGCACCAACTTTCATGGGTTCAGCACCACGCAGGCCCCAAATTATTGACTGTGGTAGAGCTGGGTGGGGGCAGTCACGTGCACCACTCAGTTCCTTTTATTTTTATTTTTTGGTCCACGGTTAGGGGTTGCAGTATACGTGGCTGTGGCCTGACGCTGCATGAGACTGTGGGGAGTGGAAATGAACTGGATTGCAGGTGGGCGGCAGGAGGCATGGTGCTTGTTTACCATGGCAAACTCTTTTGACTTCTCTCGGGCCTTGCTGAGCTAAGCTAAGCTGAGTTGGGGGTGGGTTCTTAGCAGCAGTGGCTGCTCCTTGGCCACTTACTCACCTGCACCAGTTTGCATATTCGCTCACAGGCCGGGGTGGCCCTGGCTGTCCTACTGCCCTCCCCCCTGCCTCAGGCATGATATCCCACTCAGGTATAGTGCCCCCCTGCTACAGCCCCTCCTGTGAAGGCAGGGAGAGGCCATCTGAGGGAGCTCTGGCAGTAAGCAAGCTGCTTTGCTCCCCACTGCCCTTCTCCAGCTGTGTGATAGTGAAGCTGCCTCTCAGCCTGGCCTTAGGATTTCCACTCCTCCAACCCCAGCTTGTCCTGGCCAGCCCCAATCCTCACATCCTGCCCCCCCCAAGGCCTCCCCCGGCTGTGCTTTGTGGCTGGGCTTCACTACCCTTGCTGTCCTTCTTCTGTCCTTGCCTGGATTTCGTCCTCTTTCCATCTCTTTGTTCTGATGCTTTTCTGACTTAGAGTGACCACCCATCCTTAATTAGGAGGGACAGTCCCGAAATGTAAACATCAAGTCCCAGTCCTGGGCTGAATGACCCTGGGACAGTATTTATCCCAGATTCCCTGTGACACAGTCAAACCATAGCAACTCTCTTCCCAGTATCATGTGCAGGGATCGGGGTTTTCCGTTTGTTGCAGAAAAACACAGCTTTTCCCCTTTAAGGAGAAAAATGCAGGAAATGGTGGGTTTCCCCTTGCAGGCTGGCAGCAGGGCTGCTTGGGCCTGTGGGGAGTGGGATGCAAGGTATGCCATGTGCATGTGTGCATGTGCACACCTGCACTTAGCCAGGAATACAGCCAAGCAGCAGTGGAAGACAGTTCTCCCAGCTGCCTGCAGGTAAGTCTGGGGGTGGGGAGGAAGAGGGCAGACTGAGGCAGCCATGGTGAGGGAGGGAGTGGGGCAAGGTTGGTTGCTGGGGCTAGGGGCATTGCCAAGCTACAGCAGTGCTTGGGGCTGGGGTGGGAATGCACAGCTGTGTGGCCTGGCCAGGAAGCAGGAGGGAGCCATAGGGAGCTTATCCAGGGCACGGCAGGGGGGCTGGTTCCCTAGTGCTGTATGAAGACATGTGGGGGGCACATGCCCCCCAGATTTGTGCACAGGGTGGAGGTGGATGCAGGCTGCCCACTGCAGGCTCAGGGCTCCCTACCCTGCTGCCCTTCCCCTGGGACCTCTGCAGCCCAGTGGGCAGGGCCCAACCGAAGCAGGACAGAGAGGCTAGGCTCAGTGTTCCACTTCTGCATTTGAAAAGGTGGTCACCCTACTCTGACCATGTTACATTTCACCCACTCCTTCTCTTTTCCTCCTTCAAGGACATGAAGGCTCTGTTAATTTTATTAATACCATTAATTAAATAATTACTTAAATTAATATTTGTTTAATTAATTAATCCACCATTAACTTTATGTGTGTGGCCCTCAACAGCTCACCAAAATTCATTAAGTGGCCCTCCAGCCCAACCTTGATCTAATTAGTGGCAGGTTGTCTTAAACTTGTTCCCCCCAAAAGCTGTGGCAGGGAAAGCAGCAGTGGAGGAGGGAGGCCAGACCCCTGGTCCTTGCCCCTAACCCTTTGCCCCCCTGTGCCTGTTCCTCCCCACCCCCTTCCAACCTACCTCCTGCACTCCCTTCCTTCTTTGCCCCGCTTTCTGCTTCTCTGCTTGCTCTAGCTCTGGGATAGACAGTGGCTGCATTGCCCAGCCAGGAAGAAAGAGCAACAGGAACTCTGGGCCCAGCCTGGTTGGGGATGGAGCCAGAGTAGAAGGAAAGTTGTATGGGGTGAAGGCAAGCTGGGATGGGTCAGGCACTTGGCAGGGGGGCAGGCTGTGTTGTCTTCCCTCAAGCTGCACAGGCATGTCTCCCCCATGCTCATTCTCCCTCCCCACTGTATGGCCTACCAAAAGGACCCCCAGCAGCGTAAGTGACTGGTAGGGGGGCATCTTCCCCCCCTGACAGGGCCATCCGCACCCTTGCCAGCAGCTTTTGTGGGTGCTCACCAGCCCCGTCCCTGCCACCTCCAGTGGTTTCTGCAAGTGCAGACTCAGGAGGCACCAGTTGCCCATGCCCAGCAGTGAATTTCCTTTTCCACTGCAGGAGCCACCTCAGCCTGGAGTGCGTGGCAGCTCAGCTCTGGCTTTGTCTCCAAGCCTGGTACTGAAGCCAGAGTTGAACCGCCGCTTGCTCTGGGCCAGTATTCAAATCAAAGATGAGGCATTCCTCCCCCATGTCATTTGGAGAAAAAAAAGTTTGTCCTGAATTTGAGTAAATACATTATGAAGCTATTTTTAACAGTACATCTAGGCACTGGTATGAATTCCTCTGGCAGGGGTATGGCATATGCTATATGTTTTGAATCTATCTATCTATCTATCTATGCACACAGCTTTTTAAATGTAAGAGTGAAGTGTGCTGCCAATTTTAATTCAGAAAAATGTGTACCCCAGGTATCAAAAGTTTGGGGAACAGCGCACTATCACTGAATTTGTCTCCCACCATAATCAGGGAAAAGCAAATTCAGTGCAGAAATACTTTAAACTTTGAAGTAGGGTTGGAGTGTTGTTGTAGTTGTGATGGTCCAGAAAAGGTATGAGGGGCAAAACCGTTGCTTCCTTTTAATTTAAAATACTGTTTACAAAAGAGGTAAATTTTATCTGCTCTGTTCATGATTCTAAATAGGTTCCTGTGGATTCCCAGTGGGTTTAATGGGAATTGTATAAGCATATTACAAACATATACATCTTGGTTCAGAAACAGAGTTTTGTTGACAACAGTTGCTTAATTGCTGGCTTAATTGAACAAACCCAGTTTTCACCTAGTTTTTACTTCTCTTGAGAAGATACAGTTGAAGATCCTTCTACTCCAGGCTCAGGATGTCTGAGACTCAGTTAAGAGGTGAACAATGTAAATTAGCATAAATAAATGATGAGGCTGCAAAGCATTGATAAGAATGTGGGGAGTGGGGGAGGGCAATTCACACCTCTTCCTTTTCCTGTCTGCCTGCTGGTTGGCTGGCTGAACCTTAATCAGGCCTTGGTTTTGCTCACACTTACTTCTTTTGAAAGCCCTGGGGTTTCAGTGTTTCTGTAGGGCAGGGACTGCCTGGTGCTCTGTATTTGGGCATCAGTGGAACCCAGTTCCTGGTTAACTCAGTAATAAAGCATCTTCTGATCTCATAGGAATTCGTCCTTACAAATGTGAGATTTGCAACAAAGCCTTCACCCAGCGCTGCTCCCTGGAGTCCCACCTCAAAAAGATCCACGGTGTGCAGCAGCAGTATGCCTACAAGCAGCGACGAGACAAGCTCTATGTCTGTGAAGACTGCGGTTACACGGGCCCAACACAGGAGGACTTGTACCTGCATGTCAGTAATGTCCACCCCAGCAGTGCTTTCCTGAAGAAGACCTCAAAAAAGCTGGCTGCTGCCATTCAAAACAAACTGACCTGTGTCCTGCAGAGAAGCACAAAAGAAGATGAAAAAGACCAATGAAACAGTGGATTACCTTGGTCACACACCATGAAGTTTACACTTAGGACATGTTTAATAGTTTTGAAAGGAATCTGTTTTAACCAACCTTGATGCCTTTTTTGTTGGAGGCTGACGACATGGCTTCGAGCCTTTGTGTGAAAGATGTGACCTTGCCATGATGCATATGTCCAGGTTTTTTCTTCTTTAATGTGACAAAATGGGAAACTTTAGGGAGGTGGTGTTTCCCAGAGGATGGAGCACTAGGCCGGCACTCAGGACACCTGGCTTGTATTCTTTGCTCTGCCATTGGCTTGTTGAGTGGCCTTCATACATCATCTCACCACTCCGTCCCTCAGTTTCCCCATCTGTATCATGCAAATAGTGCTCTTTGTCTCCTTCATCACCCTCTTTGAAGACTTTGGATGGAAAATACCACATAAGAGTTTGGTGTTCTTGTCAAGAGGGAAATTGCATTGAGATGGTGTTATGGATGACAGCACATATCAGGAAGTTAAGAACTGCACAGACTCTGTAGCACAAACCAAGCAATAAATATAAATCATAGTTAAGGTTGTTAGGGCATGTGGTTTCAGGTTGGCAGAAAGATCATTAAAGACATGTGAGATTTTTTTTTCACAATCTTTTCTACTTAATGTCAATGCACCAGTTATGGGGGTGTGCATGGAGAAAAGTGCATTTCTTACTTATTTAATATATTTAGATTTTTTTTTTAAGATCATGTTTGTTGCCAATGTTCCTGGATATGTAATGCTTGGTTTGGGGACGATTGCTGCATCCCAGAAATGACTTTTTTTTACCTTGAAGTTATTAAGATTGCATTTTCAGCCTTTGCTCCATTGTAATGTAGGTTTTTGGTTATTTTTCATCTGGGAATTTTTCCTGTTTCTTTAAAAAAATGTTCATAAATGACTACTGATAAATGACACTCCTTGTAACATTTCTAATGATTTGGAGGTAGGCAGAATCTACCTCAAATCAGCTTTCAGTATACTGAACCATCCAAGACAGATTTACTAGTACAACAAAAGAAGTGCAAAGCAGCCCAAGAGAAGTAGCCAACTCAGATTGGTTGGCAGCAAAAATAAATAAATAAATAAATAAATTTAAATGGTATGGCTAGATCTAGACCAAAGTCCTGCAATTATCACTGGTTTACAGGTCTGGCAATGAGGCCTGTGTGGGAAGGAGAAAAGAGGCCAGTCTTGAAATTTCAGTGTGTCTTTACCTTAAGGCAGAGATACTCTGGGACTTCAAGTCTGGTTGGACCAAGACTGGCAGAGACAAGACTGGACTTCAAGACTGGTAGAGACACACTGGGACTTCAAAGGCTGACCCCACCCTACCCTTCCACTTCAGTTTCTCTGGCAGAGCTGGTGTTCAGTGGAGCTGAGACAGGAACACTGTATGGAGCCCTTCCAGCACCGATGCCCAAACTTGTACTCAGCCTGGGAACCTTTAAAGACCAAGTCATTCATCAGTGAAAACTCTGGACACAGTTCCATTCTTCCTTGATGCATCTCTTGAATCTTTGGCAGCAGAGAAGACAAGATACAGGTACTAAATATTTTAAAGGATTTCTTTTTAAATTAATGTATAAGTTAACTGATCTATGCATTTTCAGACTCATTTTGCACTCAAAAGGATGCTCTGTAAATTTAGGGACAACATGTATTTTGCATCACAAAGAGATTGAATACCTTTTTAGGGCAAAATGGAGCTCAACCTGAAATACAGGGTCAGGACCAGTGCCTCCACGATCATTAGTCTTAAAAATTATGCAAGATCCTGATTCTGTTCTGTAGAGAAAAAACATTTTCTTGATGTTTATTTGATTGCCTCAATCTTGTAGAGAGATCTTCTCAGGCTTTTTTTGGAGGGGAGCTCTAAGGTGTTTTTAAGCATTTTTTTTTTAATGAAGTGACTTGAGCAGAACTGGGGAATGTTTGGGGTCTTGGGACACTTAAAAACAAAAAGCTACTATGTAAAGAATTAGAAAATGTACTGTCCTGTGTAATAAGAAAGCTTCTGAGGAATATTTGAATAAATTGAATTCCATGTAAACAAGTATTGAAGTGAATGAGGGAACATTTGGGTTGTAAAACTTTTGACTGTAGATTAATACTCTGAAGTTTCATTGGTCCCTAACTGTGGCAGCATGATGATTCAGAGTTGAAAGCCTGCTGTAGGTTTTTAGCTTTGGTAAGAGCCACCACCAAATACCATTTATAATCAAGACTGTTCTTCTTTAGTAAGGTTAGTCTGTCTGCAAGCACATGAGCAAATATGCTTGGATAAATTCAATCCTTAAAAGGTTTGGTTCTTTCAAGTGGGCTAGCAAAACGAAACTAGTTGAATGTAATCATAATGTTACTGCTGCATAGCTAAGGGTATCCGGATGCAATTCAGGGCTTTCTGTTCATTGACACATCTGTAGGATGAGAAATGATGTCATCCACTTTAGGTGATGATAAACCATTTGGCCAAAAGATAGCAAAATTCTATTGCCAATTTTATTAAACTTTCTTGAAGATTTTATTGAAATTCTGTGACAAAGATTTAGTTCACCAAACTTGTGACTCCACATTAAATGCCTATAAATTAAAAGAGAAAAAAAAGACCATCAGACAATATTGAAGACTAGAAAGAGATTAGCTCTAGAAGGTTGGGAAACTCCCAGCATGGCTCTTCTGTGTCTCCTAACTGTACTTCACAGGAGTAATTCATAAAAACAACCCACAGCTGCATATAAGGGTAGCCTGGTAAAGGTAAACTGTAAAGAACACTTTAGCACATTTACTTTGAATCAAAGGGACATGAAATTTTTCAGACTGATAACATTTGTTATATAGTTTGAAGCATTTAGTCTGATTGTATGAGACAGACAAGTAAAGGTACTGGTAATGGGACGCAATGAAGTCCAAGTGCTGTCTTTGTCTCTAGTGGGTTATGGAATAGAGAAAGATCCCACACAATTTACTGATTCATTTGATGCGCCTGGCTGGGGGAGTATTTGGTTGATTGCACAATTTCACAATGATTGCACACTTAATTCATACAACACAATTTTATTTTAAAATTCCTTGCTATGCATATAACACTGCTTAGCTTTAAGAAAAACTACAAACATTAAAAACACAATAACTACATATATTAGAAACAATGCTCCAAACACACTTCCTTCTCAAACAATGCTATAAGAATTAGTATTACAAAAACAACTACAATTACAAATAAAGGTTAAATTGGAATTAATACTATTATTTCTCATGGTATACTTACAATCCTAGAATTCTGAGAAACCAAATCCCCAGGTTTCATTCTTTAGTTATAGTTTTAGGGTTGGTCTCAGCAGTGGTAGGAACAAGTCCCCTTCCTTCAGTCCCACTTGGGCGCTCCGCAGCTTCAGCATTAACGGGAGTTCTTGTTCACGGAGAGGGTGGTTCAGGTGATCAGTCTGAACTGGCCTACACTTGCGATTCTTCCTTTGGTGTTCTGCAAGCGAGGTTACCTCCAAATTGGGACTGTAGGTTACAGTTTTTATTGGGTGAGTTGCCGTCTTGGGCCCCTCCTACCCAAACCTGTCACTACTCCCAAATTTGGGCTTGGATCTTTTACCCAACAGATTCCTTTCCTGGATAATCAGTTTGTCTTCTTTGGGAAATTTTCCACACCACTGCGGTGACCTCTCTTCCCAATCCCCTTTCAAAAGCCCCTAGGTTTTGATCTCTCGGAATGTTTGCTTAAGGGTCGTTTTTAGGTTAACTTTGTTAAAGGCCTCTAGAGAGAAAATTCAGAACCAAGACATTCAGCATGTAGGCAAAAATAAGCAATGGCCTAGATAAGAAGATGAACCTTGCCTTTTGCCTAAACTGGCTAAGGGGCAGTTATTACAAGAATTCAAACTATTACATTCACTGTGACAGTCTTACATATATATTCCACTTCAAGGGACAAAGTGACACTTATTTGGATTGCACTGGCATGTATCAACTCTTCTTGTGGTCCAGAACCCCAGCGTACTTGGCATTGTATGAACACAGAATGAAACATGGCCTGTGTCCCAAAGAACTTGCAGTCTAAACTTCTGATTGTACAGCAATTGCCTGATGGGAAGGGAGTCTTAGGAGCCCTGTTGTTGGGGGCTGTTAATAGCTTTTGGTGTCACTTACTTCTCTTGTCCTCATATTCTGTAGCAGTGGTTCTGAACCTTTTTGACTTGAAGCACCCCCTCATAGATGTAAGGTATCCCTTGATAGACTCCAGGCACCCCCAGAAAATGCCAGCTTAGTTTTCATTGGGTTTTGACTACGGAAAAATAATAGGGCAATTTCTGTTGTAAAGAATTCAGAAAGGCCACAGCTGGTCAGGATGTTTTTGGCACTCTGGATTCCAACTTGAAATCTCTGGGTTTATCTTGTGAATCAGGTTTGTACACCTAACAGTGGTAACATTGTGTGGCACACCACAGCACCCTTGAAAGGATCTCAAACCACTGCAGGGTGCAGTGGCACACTGGCTGAGAATCACTCTTCTACCATATTTTTTTTAATCCAAGGTCCGGCCATCCCCATTCAACATGGGAAAAAAGCCCCTCGTCTTAGATTTGAGTACGAGAGTACAGCTCTGGCTCCGGCTGGGGCCCACTCTGGTCCAGGGCAGGGAGCAATGAGGACATGCTGCCTTTGGCCTTCACCTGGTCATGCAGCAGCAGCAACAACTCTAGTCCTGGCTCTGGAGCTGGGGCCAGAGCCAGAGCTGCCACTGCTAGAACCACTGCTGTGTGGCCAGAGGCAGGCATTGGGGAGTGCAGGCACTGTAGGGAGGGCAGGCAGCAAGGAAGGCAAGTGTGGGTGGGTGGGGGAAACAGGCCACAAGGGGCAGGCATCAGGCCACTTGATTCCTTGCCTCCCCCTCTGCTACTGCTTGCTTCACTTCCGTGCTGGGGGACAGGATAGGACACCAAGTTTAAAACAAACCTCCAAAAATTAGATTCTATACATGGCAAATTATAACAAATTTATAGTTTTTTCCATGTCTAGAATCTAATTATTGGAGGATTGTCTTAGATGTGAAGCCTTGGATTCAGATAAATACAATATATATTAGGGCTGTGGATGGGAGGGGAGAGAGAGGATTTGTGTCTTTATCCAGCAATGAACTATTGTATCAACTCCCAGAATTTCCAGTAAGAGGAAGATATTTGCCACTTGTGCCTTCTGAAGGCTTTTCTGTAACCTGGGAGGCTTCCCCTCTGCACTCCCTCAGAAATGATTCCCCTCCCATCCAGAACAGGACTGTCCATGCCTTGCTCATTTCTATGGGAGCTGGGCAGTGTATTCATTCCTCTGCTGAGAACAATCTGAAGAAGGACTGGAGGTGTCAACCTAGCTCAGCTAGCTTTCCTATCAAAACTTAGAGCAGGCTATAGAATAAATTCAAATGGTGGGATGGGGACTTCCTTACCAGGGTACCAGGATACTTAACCTCATCTCCTCATACATGGTACCCACTTTCCAAAAGATATCATGTTACAAGCTTCCTTCTATACCTTTGCTTTTCCCCTCCCATCCTATCCATTCATTACTAACAATAGGGGCAAAGTACCGCCCATTGTTTTGTTTCTATGGCTTTGTTTTTGCCGACTGTTTGGCTGCGAGTCCTTGGCGTGCACATGCCTGCATTCCAAAGCAGTCTCCCATCCAAGTACTAGTCACAGTGAGACCTGCTTAGCTCTCAAGATCAGTATGGGTGCAGCTCACAGCTGTTCATAGAATAACTTTGGGTTTTACATACACCTGGAAGTGAATTTTATTGTATTTACTTTTTAAATGGATTGCATCAAGGTTACACTATAACTTACAAAAAAGCCACAGTATAGCCCTTTGATTAAATATATAAATGAGGAAAAATGAGCATTGTATTACTGCAAGTCATAGGCTACATGTAAGGTATTTTCTCTCTAGCCTTATGATAATATATTGATATATGTTGGCATTCTTAGTAAAGGTAAATTCTGATTTTTATAATAAAGAGGGGGGTGGGGTGGGATATGTGCAGAAGGATCCAAAACTTCCCTAAAATTAGTTAAATAAAGCATCAAAGATTAAACAAAAATAAAACAGTGCCTAAAGTTAAGCTCCAAGGAAGGAATTTTCAAAATAGTCTAGGAGTGATTTATGTGCTCCAGTCCTACTCAGTTGATCTAATAAGATATCACATCTACCCAAAGAACCTTGCCTGCCCAGTGTTATTTAGGTAGTTAACTCATTTCTGGCCCTTAAACTTAGTAGTACAGTTAAATAGTACAATCCACCTAACATGTCTATAATGGTATAAAGGTGCTTCCTAGCTATTCCTGTATGGAAATAAGCTAAAGGAGCTTTATCTAATCAGCAGAACTGTCTACAGTAGTTGTTGTCCAGGTACATGAATATTTTACTCAACCCCCCCCCCCCCCACAAAAAAAAAAAAAAAAAAAAAAAAAAAAAAA